AATTTTTTGCAGTGTATGGATGTATACCGGCGTATTTGCCTTTGATTTGTTGAAACCAAATGCTATTTTATTATCCCCTTGTGGACAATATCTCCTAACAAATTAACACATTTTTAATTTATATTTGTATTTTTTAGTTTCCATCCCGCAAAATTGTGAAAATTTTAAAACAAATACACACTCGTGACTAATAAAATTGTGGCAAAAAGTGTACACAAAGCAAATAAAAAATTTATAAAGTAATAAATAAAAAATAAACCGTTAAGCGCATAAAGCCGTCGGAAGTGTGGCAACAAATTTCGGTGTCATCCAGCAAAAAGTATTATTTGAAAAAGTGAAAAAAGCTAATTAATTACAAAAGTAATATATGTAATTCGAGCAAGCAGACTGCCACACACATATGTATATATATACACACACACGCATGTATATTTTTTGGCGCACGGTTTGCTGCTTGCAACATTAATTTTGGAGTGAATTTGCCAAGGATTTGCGAGCGCTTAGCTGGCCACCAATCAACCACAACAAAAAGTAAGACCAAAGCAACAACAACCACATACATATACAACACTAATAACGCGAATTACAACGGCGGTGGCAAACGCAACAACAATTATAGCGAAAAACGTTAGCAACATACGAAGCGGCAACATTTGGGTATGTTAATAAATATAAATGCCTTACGCATGTACTATATTTATGTATATAAAAAAAAAAATTGAAGACCCTGTAGGAAAATTTACAAACTTTGCAAGTTGTTGCAAGAAAAAAAAATGTACCACAAAATGAGTTACATTTCTCGAAAAAAACATGCACTTGCACCCACAAAAATATTTCCTTTTTTCAACTTAATTTTTTCCTACAGAGTATACAAGGTAACTTATATATTTAGCACACGGTTACCATTTTTATTGCCATTATTATTTATGTTATTTTATTTGCCACACACAATGCGCGAATTCTTCACCAAAGCAACAATAACAATAGTAGCAAAAAAATATATAGCATAATGTTGGGAAAAAATATGATTGATTTCGTCTACTTGCAGTCTTATGAATTATTAATTACTTTGCTGCGAATATTTTATTGTTTCTTTTATTTATGTATTTCCCCTCCATTCGCATCTTTTTCCTCTGCTCATTCTGTTAACTCAGCTTGCTTTTATTCAAACGGGTTTTGCGTTATTTGTTTGTGGGCATGGGTTGCGCAAACTGTTTGCGCAAAAAGTGAATTGCAGTGAGAGTGAATTATTTTCGAAAATTGTTTTTTTTTTAACGCGCCGTGGTCAATCAAATGCAACATTGTACAATGAATAATTTAATATCACGCATATAGGGTGTGTGTCATTTTAGTTGTTGAATGATTATATAAAAGGGTACAAAAAGATCTTTATCTTAATTTATCAGACAATTTGCCAAATTTCTTGAAGATAATTTGTTACATGAAAAAAATTTTAATAAATTTTTTAGTGGTCTGATCAGATCATTTTCTTTGAATGTTATACGGCTGCCCTGGACAGCAAGCTAGGCCCGATTTCGTGATATATTTTGTCATACAGAAAACTTTTCCATACAAAGACTTCATGCTGATTGTTGAGTTTGTATGGTAGCCTTATGCAATAGTTGTCCGATCTGAAAAATTTCTTCACATACTGTATCGTTGCTTTGGAAAATGACTTACTCACTCAATTTCCTGCAGATACCACAACAAAAACAGGTCCCCCGTGCAAGGACCTTATGTCGATTGCTCATTCCGTATGGTAGATATATGCTATAGTCATCCAATACCGGCAGTTTCAGCTACTTGGAGAGAAAGGAATGTGTACATAATTGTAGATATATATCTCAAAAACTAAGGAACTAGTTCGGGTATGCCCAGACAAGCGAACGTGGCTAAATCGACTCAATATCTTTATGAACCCCGTGGATTATCTATGCCTTCAGGGAAGCCCCACGAAGGTTGACACAAATCTGTTTGGGAAATTATATTCAAAACCAGTTTCGGGCACAAATCAGGAGCTCGTCTCAACTGAACCTGTGCGGTCAAAGAATTATGGCGACATGCATTGTACGTACTTGAAGACCTGCCAAGGTTTTAATGAGACGGAGAAGAGAAGAGTATTAACCTGCCAGCTATTTCGGTAAGATGTCACTCTTATCTACGTAGGTAACATAATAATGCCCTCACCAGCCTTTTGTTAAACTGATCCGTTTTGGGTTTCCAGTATACTATAATCAGAATCTCAATTCAATAATAGCCTCAATTCTGATGGGCGCTTGCTTAGGGCAATCGGCGACGTCTGTGCACATTTGATGCTGTTCGCTGTATTGTTGCCTCGTCGCAACCCCGATGGGGCATCTTTTCGTCTCTTCGACGAAGGTTCATTGGGCGCATGAGACGTTTTAAGCCACGCCACCCTCCTCTCTTGCAGCTCTTGGTTGGGGCGCCTTTCACTATTCGTCAGCTGTGACTCCGGTTGTAGCCTGAGCTCAGCATTACCATGTGCTGATAAAATTAAAAAGCTTTAATTTGAAGGTGATGAGTTTTTGATTAACCATTAGAGGGTCAAAATATTGGCCTTGCCTCTAACGCTGTTGAAAAATCTTGCTCTTAAGTCTGTGACCATAACGCCCAGACTCATTTTGTGCTGAAGTACTGTAAATACACTCCATATTATGACTAACTCATATTAAAGGTGTTCACGTACTTTCAAATGCCTTCGTGTGAAAGTAATTCTGCTTACGAATGTTAGAGATCCTTTGAAGTTTTAGTTCAGCCGAATTTGTTTTATACATATTGAGCTTATCCGCTTTAACTTTGGACTGTTACTCTATTCTTATTAGTGGAATCGCCAGAGCTTCATTTCTATACCATATATACTTACAGTGCGGTTAAATAATCCTCATTTCGTTAGAACCTACGTTGCGATCTGCTGATGCTAAAATTTTTTCGCACTATTGGAATATCTAAGAAGGTTGAAGACTTTTTAAAAGGTTTTGAGATGATGTCCCATCATTGAATTTTCTTGCTACTAACGCTATTGCAGCATTTAGAAAGGTGTATTCTCGATTCCGAACACCGCCGACTCATTTTCTTGGGAAAAACTGAAGTCACTGGCTTACAGATGATAGTACGCTGATACCTCGTCGAAGAGAATATTTAAAATTATTGAAAGACGTTAACAATTAATGGGAGTTCTTGTTGTCCTGGTTTTTCGGGTTAAACGGTTTACTCCATTCTTGAACGCTCTTAGGCACACTACTTTTTATTGATTACAGTAACTTAAAACATTATAAATTACAACTTTCGTCGCGGATTAACTCCATCAAAGGCCAGTGGTATGGTAAATTTAGTCAAGGCCATGGATCACTCTAAGACGAATTTCGTGAAGGTCGTCGGAAATCAATTTTTGTTTGTACATTTTACTGTAAAAAATATTTGTTTACATTGGAGTCCAGACAATTTGTCGATTGCTAAAAAAGGGCTCGTCGAGAGAAATGCTAAGAAAGTACGATACCGGTGATTCGAAACACATCTATGAAATCGTGCCAAGTGCTGAAAAGAAATATATCTCTGCTAAGATAAAGATCTTACTGGAGAATATTCTGAAAGCAATGAAGTTATTTTCGATGACTAAATTTTTTTTTGTTCTGTAATCTTGTAATATATAAGGCAACCAACTTTCATATAACGGAGGTTAAAGGTTAAGTAAGGGCAGAATCGACATTCATTCAAAAGAGGTAGAGTATTGGTTTACACTTTTATAATTTACTCATAGAAACCGTACGCAATAACAAAATATGCTCCTGAGATAGTTTTTGGATTTAAATTGGAGGCATTTTCCCAACCTTGCATAACCTCGAAAGCTTTAAATATACTGTGCATCCTCATAAATATACAAGTATGTATAGATACCAATAGCAGTGGTAAAATATACTTGCATTTCTGTATGAAACTATGCACTTAGCTACAATGAAAGGCCAATATTTACCATGAAAGCAACAATCAACAAATTAGAAATCAACTTGAAAAACGGTACGGCCAATGCGCAGACTACCAAAGAAACTGTGACGCTAAACGAAGCTAGACTAGAGTATCAGTGACAGTGGTTTTTCCATGCTTTCAACTCGATTTCCGTGATGCAAGAGGCGACGGCATAAAGAGCAGCTCGAAGCAACCTTATGCTACTTTTGTCTTCGATGCCTTTTTCTACTCGTTCACTTTGTGTACCAACTTATTTTCATGTATTTGCACATAGTCTAGTTTTTATGCGTTCTTGTTTTTTTGTAATTTACTACAAAACGAACTAACCGAACTGACAGAAGGTCGACAAGGCGGTCAACTAAAATAGCAAAGAACCATGGAACTGTACCGTGTGTAAAGTAACTAGCGCTACCTGTCGGCTGAGACCCCTCAAGGTAAACGGACAGGGTCGATAAAGTGAGCGCGCGGGGGAAGGTAAGGTGAGCAACAAAGCAGTAAGTTGATATACATTGGTATATATAGTATGCAAGCGGACAAACGACAAAACTCGAATGCAAGTTGAGACAATACCTGCCCACATGATTTCAAAAAACCAAAAAAAGAAAAAAAAAAAAGAAACTATTTTCCTTTATACATATACTTTTGTCGGTATATATTTGTGTGTTTCTGTTGCCTAACGGGCAACTGGTAAGTGATACGGGTGGTCGAAGCAAGCATTTATGTATATATATAATATTTAATATTTTGCCAGCATTATTATGTTCAAATAGTTGAAGGCAGTTTAACGGTGCTGTCGTCTTTGTAGCTGCTCGTTAGGAAAAGTTGTAAAGTTCTCGTGGTTCAAACAAAGCACTTGTTACTACAAAATAACCTTCAAGGATTGTGTAACTTTCATGAAGTTTTCATGTGATACATCACTGCGAGGTTCACTAGGATGCATCAATATTTTTTTGGTATATTGGGTCAAGTCCATGCACTACAGTGCAATAATTATTTTGTGCTGACGAAGGCTGTTCTAAAACATACATACTATTGACCAATCCTTGAATCTCATCTTCCATTTTTCGGTAAAGTTTAGGTAAGCTGAGGTTCGATGGAAGATCAAAGATCGCACAAGTCTTTAAGCCTTGACCTCCCAAACGGTCAAGAAGGACGTGTTGAGTTCTTTCTTCCTCATCTTCTTCCTTACAGCTGCTGCATATGACGCCTGGTAGGATTCCCAGCCTTATTGCGTGGACGCCAATAGGACAATGACCCATTAAAAGCCCCAAAACTAGGGCGATGCTAGCTTTACTGAGGGCAAAGAGATCACTAAATCTCTCGGTCTTTGGCCGAACGGCGTTTGTGACAGCGCATGTAGTGATGGTGGCCCAGCGTTGGCCAAGATTCCGCGAAGCCCAGCTATCTAGTAATAAATCACAAGAGGATACGGGAGCACCTACCCGCTCCCTATCTAATGATAGCGGTTTTAGGGTACGTTGATGCCAGCTCATCTATGTTACAGTTTCCGGTGATTCCACTGTGGCCTGGTTCCCATACCAGTCTTATTACCAAGCCAATCAATGCTATTGATAGCGAGGTTAGGCTTTCTGGTTAGAAGACTGCACTCCGGAGCCGTAAATCTACTGAGCCAGAGTTCGGTTTGGCGACTCCACGATTCAAGTGATCCGGTA